GTTCCCGGGCCACATGTTGAATGCCCGGAGCCAATTGTAGGCACTTCGTGGTCTTCGAGTTCCCAGAACTCCATTCTTGGGCATGATTTTGAATGCCCGGAGCCAACTGTAGGCCACGTCGTGTTCTTCGAGTTCCCAGAACTCCATTCCCGGGCCACATTTTGAATGCTGAGGCAGGCTGATGCTGAGGCTGAGGCAGGCTGAGGCTGAGGCCGGTTGAGGCTGAGGCACACTGAAGGCAGACTGAGGCTGAGGCTGAAGCAGGCTAAGGCTGAGGCTGAGGCAGGCTGAGGCTGAGGCTGAGGCACGCTGATGCTGAGGCAGGCAGGCTGAGGCTGAGGCTGAGGCTGATGCAGGCTGAGGCTGAGGCAGGCTGAGGCTGAGGCCGAGGCTGAAGGCAGACTGAGGCTGAGGCTGAGGCTGAGGCTGAGGCTGAGGCTGAGGCTGAGGCTGAGGCTGAGGCAGGCTGAGGCTGAGGCTGAGGCTGAGGCTGAGGCAGGCTGAGGCTGAGGCTGAGGCAGGCTGAGGCTGAGGCGAGGCTGATGAGGCTGAGGAGGCTGAGGCTGAGGCTGAAGCAGGCTGAGGCTGAGGCTGAGGCTGAGGCTGAGGCTGAGGCTGAGGAGGCTGAGGCTGAGGCTGAGGCTGAGGCTGAGGCTGAGGCTGAGGCAGGCTGAGGCTGAGGCTGAGGCTGAGCAGGCTGAGGCTGAGGCAGGCTGAGGCTGAGGCCGAGGCTGAAGGCAGACTGAGGCTGAGGCTGAAGCAGGCTGAGGCTGAGGCAGAGGCAGGCTGAGGCTGAGGCTGAGGCAGGCTGATGCTGAGGCAGGCTGAGGCTGAGGCTGAGGCTGATGCAGGCTGAGGCTGAGGCAGGCTGAGGCTGAGGCCGAGGCTGAAGGCAGACTGAGGCTGAGGCTGAAGCAGGCTGAGGCTGAGGCTGAGGCAGGCTGAGGCTGAGGCTGAGGCAGGCTGATGCTGAGGCAGGCTGAGGAGGCTGAGGCTGAGGCTGAGGCTGCAGGCTGAGGCTGAGGCAGGCTGAGGCTGAGGCTGAGGCTGAGGCTGAGGCAGGCTGAGGCTGAGGCTGAGGCTGAGGCTGAGGCTGAGGCTGAGGCTGAGGCTGAGGCTGAGGCTGAGGCTGAGGCTGAGGCTGAGGCTGAGGCTGAGGCTGAGGCTGAGGCTGAGGCTGAGGCTGATGCTGAGGCAGGCTGAGGCTGAGGCTGAGGCTGAGGCTGAGGCTGATGGCTGAGGCTGAGGCAGGCTGAGGCTGAGGCCGAGGCTGAAGGCAGACTGAGGCTGAGGCTGAAGCAGGCTGAGGCTGAGGCTGAGGCAGGCTGAGGCTGAGGCTGAGGCAGGCTGAGGCTGAGGCTGTGACTGCGACTGCCGTTGCCACTGCGACTGTCATCGCGAATGCGACTACGACTACGAGAACAGCAGAATTCTACAACTGGATGTTCATCAGAATCTTAAGGGGAATGCTTCCAGATATGCTCCTACACATCGCTGTTAGGTTGCTTTGCGGTTTTTTTTTTGCTGCCGTGATCACGTGCCGCTCGATCATTGGATTGCAAATGTACTTGCTTCGGTGAGGGAGCGGCCGCCCCTGGCGGTCGTCTGCCTAGCTGGTCGGCGAGGTGGCTAATTCTCGTGCCCAGCGTCATCCGCATCGCCGCTCTTGCCATCAAGTCGTTCCTCGTACCATCCCCGTCCCCCACCCGTTGAACATCCTTCCCGTCTTACGCGTACTACAGGAACTTGATTCTGATGGCACCATAGTTACTGCAATTTGTTGTGCGGCGCCGTTACGGGCGCAACCAGTGTTGCCGTAACGCGCTGCGTGGGGGCCACCAAACGTATTGTAACATCAGGTGTTCGTCGCCCTGACAGGCTCTTGTAAGGCATCGAGCCCAAACTCCACCCGACCTTTTCGGGGCGGGCGCCACGCTGGCGCGATGACAGCGGGGCCAGCGCAGCCGCCAAGGAGGGCACCCAGCGGCGGCGAAGCTCCACGCGACCCCTCGGGCTGGGAGCGGCGCCCGCGGCCGGGCCAGAGAGCCGGGAGGATTGCAAAAAAAACCCGAAGGATTGCAAAAAACCGAAGGATTGCAAAAAACCCGAAGGATTGCAAAAATCCGAAGGATTGCAAAAAACCCGAAGGATTGCAAAAAACCGAAGGATTGCAAAAAACCCGAAGGATTGCAAAAAACCCGAAGGCGGAGGAGGCGCCCCACTCGACCCTTCGGGACGGGGGCCATGCGCCCACGCACTGGCACGCGCCGCGCCCAGTCGGTGGCGAGCGTCAGCAGCGGCGGGCGCGAGCCGCAGCACCCCGGCGCCCAGTGCGCCGCGGCCTGGTTCGGTTGTGACCCCAGGAGAGCCCAGGAGGGCCCAGGAGGACCCAGGAGGCTCCAAGAGGCACCAGGGGGCCCAAGGAGGGCCCAGGAGAAGCTCCAGGAGGCTCCAGGAGAGCCCAGGAGGGCCCAAGAGGTCCAAGGAAGACCCAGGAGGGCCCAGGAGCCCTTTACGAGGGATCGTGGCCCTGGGAGCGCTGACGTAGCGTAATTTACGAGGGATCCCCGCCGAAGGGCGAGAGGCTATCGACGGCCGCCGGGCCAGCGGGGGGCGGCCTGCCCTCGGGGCCTCTGCCCTCGAGGCGCGGCGATCCCCGCACGGAAGCGAGCCCAGCAGGCTCCGCGCGGTCTCGCCTTCACGGCCCCGCGAGCCGCGCCTTGCCTTGGCCACGCGACCGGCCCAGGGCACGGGCTCCCCCCCCCCGATCCCGCGCCCCCTCCCTGGAAATCCTGCGGTCGCCTCGACGGGCGAGGGCCCCCGAAGTGGGGGCCCCCACGGGCCGGGGGGGGAGGCCCTCGAGCCACCCCACCCACCCCTTTTTATCGGCCGTTCGTAATTCAGGAGGGAAAGAAACACACAGACACAATTAATCGTCGATTCCTCAGAAAATATGGGAAAATATGGGAAGTGGGGGGGAAGACAAAACCCCAGAAAATATCAGGAAATATGGGGAATCTTTTTATTTGTGTGTATTTATTTGTGTGTCCTGGGGCCCCTTCAGTAATCCCCGCAGGGCCCGTCGACCGCTTGCCTTGGGTCGCGCCCTTTGGCGGGCCTCGGTGGAGGGGCCCCGGGCAGAGCGGGGTTCCGAGCGGCGTCCCGCCGTGCTCCGGGGTCGCCTTGAGCCCCCACCTTCCAGAGGGATCGGGTCGGGCGAAAGGGGGGGATTGGGAAAGGGGGGGTTACGAAATTTGCTGCATGCAGCTGGTTTCGGCCTCACCGAGGGGCCAATTCCTCGATACATGGCCGCTCCCGGCGCCGGGAGGCGCCGGAAGAATCAGCTACGTGAGCTGATTCTCAAACCCCCCCTTTGCTATCCCCCCCTTTCGCCCGGCCCGAAGGGAGCCCCCACGGCGGGCGCTTCCTTCCTGCCCGCGGGCCCCCATTTTCCCGCCGCGTGCGGGAGTGGGCGCTTTCGGTGGGAAGGGCGCCCCAACCGCGAAGGGTCTTGTGGAGAGCAGGCAGGGCTCGGAGACCGCGCTTCCTCGGTAAGGTGGATGGGCTCGGGATCCGCCTTCTCGCCTCCAGGGTTCTTTTCTCTCCTGGCGTCCCACTCCCAAGGCTAAAGAGGGGGCATCAAGTCTTTGGAATTGGACGGGGCCCTGTGCGAGGGCCCCCCGTTCCGTCACCCTGTGCACCAGGAGTATCCGTCATGGCTTGTTTCTTGTGTTATTAAGGTTCATCGAGGATTCGCCCCCGCGTGCCAACACGTAATTCAGTGAATCCTCTTGTATTGCCCGACTCCTGTGGCCATTTGGACTCAGCCGCTCATCTGTGTCAGAAAACCACCCACCACCCTGGATCATCAAGCTCCTGGGAAAGGACGGGGCCCTGCGCCAGTGCCCCCTGGACCGCCACCATGTAAAAGAGGCATCTCCGTCAACTCCCGCATCCCCCTTATTACCGCCATCGCACCGCTATCAAGGATCATCAAGGATACGATGGAAAGATCTCCCAGGCGGAAGTGCAGTTCTTGATTCAGGAGAGTGGTATGTTTGGGTTGGTTGCGGGGAAGTCCCAAGTGAGAGCGCGATTTCGAAGTTAATGTCGACCAGCCGGGACCCAAAACAATGAGTTATTACAGCGTTATTGCATTGCGGATGCGTCATACATGTGGTGTCACCTGCACGGTGACGCATACGTGGTGCAAGCCATGCGGTGCACTCTCATGTGGCATCGGATGACCTGCAAGTTGTGTGGTGTAAGATGTGTGGTGGAAGCTATGTGGTCCAACCCATGTGGTGCAAATTGTGCAGCCGCCCAGCACACGAAGCGCCCTCGAGGTCGCCACTTGGCGGGCAACAGGCCAAAAACCTCGCCACACCCCGCGCAGCGCACGAGGCGGCGACCGGCGCGCGCACCGCGGTCTTCCCTGACAAGAAGCACCGTGCGAGAGACTGGAGCCCGCCTCCATTGGCACCGGTGGGGTGGGTCAGCGATAAGCATCCTTCAGTCTCGGGGGCGGAAAAGAGGGGGGTGATGACTAGGGGGGGGTGGATATCATGGCGCGGGCCATGATATTTCCCCAGATTTCATGGCGTCTCTTCTTATTTCATTACGTCCCTGGCCCCCCCGTCGGGCCGCGCACATGCCGCCAGTCATTATTCGCACCCCCCCCTCTTTGACGCCCCCCTCTTTGCCGCTCCCGACAGTCGGGGGAGCGTAAGACCCGGGTTTGCCAGGACTCGGGTTCGCCATTTTTTTTTGACGGCCGCGACTCGGGTTTTGACGAGCAGGAGTTTCGTGGGATGTCTGCAGCGGGAGGCCTCGTCAAAATGCAGGCTCGGCCTCGTCATTTTTTTGACGACCTCGTCGGGGATTTCCGAGTCCCCCGTACCCGGGTCTTACGTCTCCCCGATTCAGAGAAATTTGAGATCCACCATGGCGACGACAACGACGGATGGCGGCGGCGGAGCCCGTTGGCGGCCACGGGGCAGGCTGCGGCTGGCGCTGCCGACGCAGCCCGTTGCGTGACGCCGCTGGCGCCAGCAAAATACGCGTGCCGCCGGCGCCGGCAAGAGCGCTGTCGTCAATCATGGCCGTCGGCGCAGGGCGAGGGCGGCGGATGGCGGCAGCGCGGCGACGGAGTTGCCCGAGCGGTGTCCGCGACCCGGTTCTGTCGATAGCCGTGTCTGTGTTTCCCTCACGGTTGTTTTCGGCCCATGGGTTTCGGTCGGGTTCCGTTTTGTTGTCGGTTCGGCCGGTTTTCGTTGTTGTTGTCGCCGTGGAGTGTTGACCCAGGCCTCCCGCGTCGTGATTCCGTTCACGGCGTGGGCTCCGCAGTTCTGGGCCCCGCCAACCGTAGCATGCAATTCGTCACGAGGCGGTTTCTGCGAAGGAGCGCCCACCGTGATTTTTGTTCGCAGGCGCTGGAGGTGTGGGAAGAGCGCCTCCTTCTCTGGGGTGGGGCTTCCTGAGGGGCGCGAAGCGCGAAAGGGTGCGCCGACATGGGCGGTGGTGACGCATGCGGTCGCGCCAGCCAGGGGTGCGAAGCGTGCGAGCGGCGTGCCGAAATGAGCGACGATGCCTAGGACATGCGGTCGCGCCCATGGTGGGTGTAGTGGGTGCGCCGAGATGGTCAGGGTGGCTGCACGCGTCCTTCCCGCTGAAGCCGTAGGTGGAGCTCCACATATGGGGACACGAAACATTTTAGGGTGTGCCGCACTGGACATGCGGGCGGAGGGCAGAGAGAGGTAAAGGGGGAGGAGGAGGTAGGTCAGGACGCGCGGCGCTGCGGAGCTAAGGAGTCAGGACCCAACAACGCAGGAGTGTCGGGGAACACCTCCCTCCCACCCACTCCTCGTTCCCACTCCCCCAGCTTCTTTCACTCCCACGCAGTGGCCATAAGGCGAGATCGAGGCCACGCGCAGCGGTCCATCCAGGACCTCCCCAGCCCTGATCTGGGTGTTGGAACGCATCCCGTCAGTTGGCTCTCTGCTTCGGGTGTGTTTTCTCGTGGCCGCTTGGAGGCAGGATGGGGGATGAGAAGGCGGAGGAGGGCGAGTGGCATGCCGAGATCTCTGGAGGTCCCCTGGGAGGCATGAGGAGCCGCTCTTGGGAGGCGCAAAAGGGGCGGAGAGCGTTTCAGAGACCCCGATCCTCGACCGCTCCTTCCTATCCATCTCCAAGGGTTTTACCCCCGCAGGCCTTGATTCGGGGAACGTCAAGCATTGTCGGAGAAACGAGAAGCGACGATCAAGGGCCACCTTGATCAAGGGGGGAGGAGGAGGAGGAGGAGGAGGACGAGGAGGAGGAGGAGGAGGAGGAGGAGGAGGAGGAGGAGGAGGAGGGGGAGGAGGAGGGGGAGGAGGAGGAGGAGGAGGAGGAGGAGGAGGAGGAGGAGGCGGGGAGGAGGAGGAATAGGAGGGGGCCACCTTGAGCAAGGAAGCCCACGATGCCTCCCCGAGCCGGAGGCTGGCCGGATGCCGCTTCGCTGAGGAGCTCGCGCGCCCGACGGCGGCGGACGACGGCGGCGGCGGCGGCAGCGGCGGCGGCGCCGAGGGCGAAAGCAGCGGTGACGAGCGCGCCTGCCGATGGCCCCGTCCTCTCGAGAGTGCCGGCCCTCGCCCCGGGGGGCCGGCGGCGGCGGCGGCGCCGCCGTGCGCCGGCGAGCGCGCCCTCCTTCTCAAGAGGGGGGGGAGGGGCCGAGCGAGGGAGGGAGGGAGGGAGGGGGGAGGGAGGAGGGAGGGAGGGAGGGGGGGGAGGGGGAGGGAGGGAGGGGGGAGGGAGGGGGAGGGAGCCCCGAGCGAGGGAGGGAGGGGGGAGGGAGGAGGGAGGGATGGTTGAGGGAGGGAGGGAGGAGGTAAGGGAAGGAGAAGGAGGAGTTGCGAAAGAGCTGCGGGAAGCAGCCCCCGGATTGGGACGACCCCTTCGTCAGCGCATGGGGTGCCGATGGAGACGTGACAAGCGAGCGACATGCCAAAGCCTTTCAGAATGGATGTCGAAGTTCCAACAATTCCTCGATATACTTGCGTCAGCGTGGCAACTTCCCTGGCTGGGAGTAGATCTTGCCGACGGGGTGGGGGGGCATTGGGCCGCGATTAAGCTTGGGACAGCAATCCCGGAGGTGCCGCCACTATTGCACATCTCTCAGGAACAGCAGTTGGATAACGGAGCGAGGCGTCTGTGGGTCCAGAGAGACAACAATTGGCAGAGCTGTTTTCCGACAAGTTTGTTTGTGAAGTGGATGATGTGCGACCGATTTGCATTCGAATTGCCCGGCATTTGCACGGGTTTCTCCGCAGAGGTTGGCGACCGCGGCGGAACACAGGAGCATCCGCGGAATGGAACTCTCTGGATTTCAACACAACCGCGGACCACGCGGCAAATCATGCATTCGATGCCGGATCCGATTGGGACGGCAGCAGGAGGAGCATGTGAACGTAGGGGCCAATATCCGATTGTGTGTCGATGGGCGCTCTGAGGGGGCAAATCTGCTGCTGCAGGGATTACGCTATATACGGGCCCGGGGAGGGCGAATGCTCGCTTAATTATAGGGCTGGGCGTTGCCTTCAGTGCGTCTGCTCCGCCTTTGTAGCTGAACTCGTAGCATCAGAAGTCGGCCTCCACGGTTTGGCTCAATGTGAAGGGCTCAAAGGCTTTCGTTACTGAATCTTTCTATCCTGCACACCTTACCTCGTGCCAATTTTTTGTTTGCTCTCATTTTCGCTCCCGCGTCGATCGCTGCACTTCGATGGCCAACGCGTCTCGTCAGAGCCGGGCGCTAGGCACGCCAGTCGGGGGGGAGCGGGAAGGACGCAATGCAGAGCGGGACGTACGGCAGCGTCTTTTCAGCCCCTTTTCCACCAGATGGATGGCCTCGAGTCCTTCGACCCCCCACCCCACACTTCGCCCAGAAGTCAAGTCCATCTCTACGCCCAGCATTCCGAGTACCCCAGAAGAGGCCCAACCTGCGCAGGCGGCCACGCTCGCGCAGATCGCGGCTATCATGAAGCAGGAAGTTCAGCCCCTACAGATGCGGATGTGGCGCGCGTCCCCGTGCGATTCTGAATCCTTAGCCGTGGATTATGTTTTGGCCGTCCGTGTCCTTGAATTCGAAGGCCCCCCCGTCGCATATTGCGCTGATCGCGTCGACGCAGCGGTCTGGGATTTCAAAACAGGCCGGCGAGATCGATGGAGCGAGGTGGCCCACTTTGTCGAACGCTTCTGACCAGTCCACAAGCACTGCAGATGCCTCGCCATCTTTGGAGACCCACGTGTCCTCGATGGACCTGCGCAGGATTACGACGGCGTCGCCGGTGCCACGTTTGCTCCCCAGGTCTGAGGCGACCCTGCACGCCGCCGTTCGCGAGCCCGTCGAGAAACAGAGACGCCGACGCTTTACATCCGACAGGACGCAATGACAGGACGGAAATTATCTGGCATGGACTCGCCTCCTCTCTCGGAGATGGCGGCGATTCGGCCGCGCCGCAACTCCTGTGGCACCGTCTTGCCCTGCCAGCAGCCGTTCAAGGCCTTGCGGGGTGTTGCAGGCTTCTGCGCTCCTGCGCAACGCCTTCCAGAAGTCTGGCGGGCGTCGTCGGGCCCGGCCGCTTTGCCCGACCGCAGTCTGCGCGATGCCCAGTCCAGCTCGGGCGGGAGCTGCAACGGATTGCCTGGTCTTCGCCCGCGCGGCACACGGCTACCAATGGGGGGCTCCGACCACCGGGCCTCGGAGAAGAAGGCGACCAAAGCCTCGGCTCTTTGGTCGCTTTCCACCGAGTCTCCGCCTCGATTTCGCATCCTGCCTCGGGGCCTGCGCCCCGTCTTCTGCAACTCTCCGAGGCCTTCCCAGTTCCCGTTGGCCGCGACGTCGCCCAACCAGGCCGCTCGGTCGCGTCGCGCCGAGCGCCCTCGACAGCCCCTTCCCCTGACTGCGTCGGCGCCCAGTCCTGGCCCGGCCCCGAAGCCCGATGAGGTCCAAGGCGCCTAGCCGGGCCCGCGGCCCCCTCGCCTTGACCCGCGTCGCGTCGACAGTGGCCTCGGCGGCTTGCCCCGCCCAGGTCGCGGCGCGCCCCGCGCGCAAGCCCACGTCTGCAGGCGGCGGCGCGGGCGAGCTTGCCGCGACAGACGTCTCGCAGAAGGTTGCCGCGACGCCGGCTCTTTGCAAGGACCTCGGATCGCGAGTCCGCCCGCGACTTTTCGGATGGACCTTCTGGGCCCCAGTGTCTACATCGACAGAAACCAGAAAATGGTGGGAGGCGAATGGAATCGATCTGTCTGGCGGGACGCGTCGGGCGACATGCTGCCGCCACTGGCGCGCTATGAAGCTGCGAAGTTTTGCGAATGTCTCGGGGGTCGGCTCGCTCGCCGGGCCCGCGCCCAGGTCGCGGCGCGCGATTCTTCCAGCGGCGGGCCTGTCCAAGAACGCGCTTGCAACGGCAATTCCGAACGCCGCGCGCCGGTCCGCCAGCGCCCGCCAGTTGCCGGCGGCGTCGCGCGAATATTGCGGCCGCCGAAAGCGAAGGGGCCAGCGGCGTCGACCTCCTCGCAGGGGCGCGGGTTGAACCGAGCATTCATGTCGCCAGCGATTACAACGGGCCCGTGCACTCTGCAGCTGCTGACGGTCTCGCGCAGCGCGCTGAAGAACGCGCCCCGGCCCTCGAACTCCGACGCCGATTGCGGCGCGCGCGCCGAGATTAGGCGCATCGCGCCGCCGGGAATCCGCGGCTTCAGCGCCGCAGTGCGGCTGCTGATCTGCGCGAGAGACATCGCCGGGCGCCGGAACCGCGGCGCAATCGCCAGTCCGATTCCTGCATGCCCCTTCTCGTTTGACGGGCCCCCAGACAAAACAGCGGGGCCCCCCTCGCGGACCGCGCGCGGCGCCCCTGGTGCACGCATTTCTTGCGCGCAAAGAATTCACACGCCCCTCTTCCTGAAAGTCGCGCAAATCTGCGCCAGCTCCGTGGAAACAGCGCCAACGCCAAGGCCCTCGACGCTCCGCGGCGCCAGGCGACGCGCCTTGCTTAGTCGTC